AAGGGATGGCAAAATTAATGGTTTTGAGGAACAAGAACAGCGTGGGGCAGCACGTGGTGGGGGGGGGGCATCCTCCCCCAGGATTTTAAGGGTCTCTGAGATCACAATGTGTGAAACAAAAAATGCATTATGCTGATTTGGTAGCTTTGTGGCATTATCAAAAGGTTTGTGGCTTGTTGAAAGTGTTGTAGTTTGTTTGCTGACAGTCTGTTTGTTGTATAATTAAGTGTTTATTGTCATGGTTCGATATTAACGAATATTCCTACAATTCAAGGGATGACTGTCAAACCTTTTTCAAACCTTTTTCAAATATTCAAGGGATGGCAAGGGTGGCTGGAGCCATCCCCTAAATGAAACCCTGTGATGGCCTGGAAAAAAGGCGAAAAACATAACTTTGCATCAACTTACCAGGTTAAGCCTGTTTGGAGGGATTAAGTTACTCAGGGGGATGCCCTACTTTTGTGTATGTAACCAAACAATAATTTTAGTCATTAGCCATACAAATCAAAGTGCCTCATACGTGCGTATTCTCCTTGCCACTTACTGCACCCGACCACTTGTTGAAGGAATATGAGTATCCAACGAAGAGTAGAAAAACAGCGTAAAAGGATGTTCTCTGTGGTAGATTTGCCATTCTAAATTCTGTGAAGCAGTCCTAACCACCAAGGTTTAGCATAGGCCAAGCGCTGGTCATGGGGGGGCGCAGCGAGCGCTATAGTCCACGTTTAAATGGTCAGCAGCACACACGACTGGCAACATATAGAACTACCTACTACAGCACAGCGTTGTTCCTTGGCTATATACAATGGCTAACCCACAGAGGCATCCTTCAGCAGTACTGGATATACTCTCAGCTGTTTTCAATACAATTCTCGGGCTCTGTCCTAAGACAGTATTGTAAACAGCTCCGGGTATATCCGGTACTGCTGAATGCCTCTGGATGAACCATTACTTGTTTCAAAACAATTTCTCTTTGCAGTTTTTCTATTATGTAGTGGCTAGTATGCTATATAAAACATACTTTTCACGTGTGTCTACTAGCACTCACTCCTTGGGATGACCCTTTCCCATCTTTTGCAAATGCAGTACTGTATAAACTTGTGTGTTTCACTCAGGTTGGAACTTAATCTTGAACTTCCTTCTAATCCAACTGGGACTACTACATCTGTGGAGCAGGTGATGTGCATGTATAAACTACAAGCCCATTAAATCCATATGCCGTAACTTCCGTATTTAAGTGCACAGAAAGTACAGTTAATTAATTTTGTCCCGAATAAAATACACCACCTAGATTATGTTGAGCAGGATACCTGGAATGTGTGAGCATACACATAAGTACAAGTGTATTGCACTGTTTTCATTGGACCATAATGGATTTTTTTGTAGGAGGAGCTCTCTGCAAGACTTGCACAACTTCGTAACTCTTAAAGGATTTGCAACTTCAGAACATCTTTTTATTCGGAATGTGGATAATTTGTTTTACAGTTTTACATTATTCATTGTAGACTTATTGGAGCCTCGGTAGATGGCCGGCTGAGTCAAATCTCACGTGATCCACATACAAAAGAATGACGCCCCTAGCTAACTACACCTTCAAAACTAGCAATTGTAGTCCATGGGCCATAATCATTGACCCATACGTGCCCTATCAGTCGATGCTACGCTATCGATCATACGAGATTTCACGACGTCATCATTGGTCTGTACGCAAAAACGCTGGTATATACGCCGCACGGAATCTCCGGCTCTGCTCTGGCTGCTTTAAAAGAGTATGAGAAGCATTTCCTATGCGAATGTTCAAAGTATGAAAACCTATGTAACAATCTGGAACAAGCAATGTTTCCTGGATATAAGTGACTTTCATCAGAGCGGAAATTACTGGGATCTTATTGATAAGAAGATAAATGATGCAGTGGCACATTTTATTAAAACAAAGACGTAGAGCAAACTGCTGCACTTTCTTAAGTTTCTCAATATACTTTGTTCCACACCTGGCAGACGTATTCCAAAGATGGCTGAATGAGGGAAACATACAGTTTTAAGATGGTAGATGGAGATGCGTGGCATAAAAGGTTCTATACATGTGAGACCCAGCGTTTTCTTAACTTTTGTACACAGGGTATGAATGTGCTCACCCCAGCGTTTTCTTAACAGGTATGAATGTGCTCACCCCAGACAATCATGAACTTGCACTTCATTTGAAAGTTAGACAATTGGTTGCATCCCAGTAAAAGAGGGATCAAGATCTGACTGTAGATTTTCTAAATCGTCATTCTTTCTGATTGTAATAAGATGTCATCGGCATAGAGTGTCATGTGTGTCCCAGGCGAGAACGGTGAACTAGTAGCACTGTTTATATAAATGAGGAATAGCAATGGTCCAAGTACAGAACCTTGAGGTACACCAGAGATAGCGTGGAACTCACTTTGACATTTCCTTGTTACTACAACTCTTTGCACACGATTAGTCAGGTAGCTACAAATTAATCTCAGTAGGATGGGGTGAACTTCCAGCTGCTTCAGAACCAGGAGGAGGTTACGATGAGAAACTGAGTCAAACGCTTTCCGGAGATCAAGGAAGACTGAGCAGATCCAGTACCAGATTCAAAATATTTATGCCAACTCTCAGTGACGGAGAGCAAAGCTAAGGTTGTGGATCTGCCAGATAGAAACCCCCATTGACTTTTTGAAATGAGAGATTTATCCATAATCAGATCTGTCAATAAATTTGCCACATGTTTCTCCTGAAGTATTGGAAGAAGAGAGATTGGTCTGTAATTGCAGGGGTTTGTATTATCACCTATTTTCGGGATTGGCACAATGTTGGACACTTTCCAAAGCACAGGACACCAGCTGGATTTGATTGATTGGTCAGCCCCCAACGTTCGCTCCAAAGCCTTGGCCCTTTCGTCCGCTATTCGTCATGCAGGTGACTGGTTAAATGTCGTCCCATCCTCTGCCCTGGGCCTCCACCTTCTGGATCGGGAATTCCGATTCTGCCTGCAGTACTGGTTGGGTCTCCAGATGTTCGAGGAGGGTCTAAGGTGCCCAGTTTGTCATGCCGTAGCCGACCCCTTCGGGGACCATCAAGTGAGTTGTGGAGGAAACTGTGACTCCGACATAATTCCCTTCGGGATGCAGTTTTTTCAGCAGCTCAGTCAGCTGCCTTGGCGCCCTGAAGTGAAGTCCCCTCTCTTGTCCCCGGCACCCAGAGCCGGCCTACCGACATCTATCTCCCCTGCTGGAAAAGAGGCCGCCCAGCTGCTCTGGATGTCATTGTCATCTCCACATTGCAGCATCAACCGTCTGGGGTGCAGCAGAAAATCCGGGCCACGCTCTCTTGGTTGCTGAGGAGAGAAAGTTTGCTGCTGCCTGCCAGGCCGTTGGCATCACTTTCATCCCCCTCACCATAGAGTCCCTTAAGCGGCGAGTGACATGGCTGCTGAAACGTTCTCCAGCCTAGGCCGTCTTGGGGGGATCTCTTCAGTTGAATCGACTCGTCATCTCTGCCAAAGGCTCGCAATCTCGCTCTGGAGGGGTAACGCATCTGCCTGACTGATTCCACCGTTGTCCACAACTCGCTCCCTCTTTAGATGGTGTAATTTGACTTGCTTGTTTGTGCTCTTTTGTGTTTCTTGTTTTTTGGTTTGTTTTTGTCCCTTATCCTATAGAATACCAGTTCATCCGTGTCTGACCCCTCACCCTGGAAGGGGTCAGGTGAACCGCGTATCGTAGCTCGGGAATGCAGCTGACGTGATATGTTATGCAATAGTGTCCTGTTATGTTTAGCGCACAGCTAGTTGTGCAGGCGGCGCGCGATCCACGTTGAAGGCCAGCGCATGCCATACGTCAGTTGTGGATAGGACACTGTGACAGGAGAAATTTGTATTACCGCCGCTTCATGAAGGGCAAACAAAAAGGACGTAACGAAACGTTTTGAAATGTGTATAATTGGCGAGCGGAAGCTACTAGGTGGTGGTCCGAACGGCCGGCACGTCACCGCGTCGCCGAACTGCGCATGTCACCGTACGTCGTCGGTAAGTCGCCCCACCCCCCTCAGCCCTCAGTATAATATAGGCTCTATATACCCCTGATGAGTTATGGATCGGTCTAGAGAAGATGCTCTTCGTCGTCGACGAGAGAGGGAGAGAGAACGTCGTGCCAGTGAAACTCCTGAGCAGAGAGAAGCTCGGCTTTCTCAACGCCGATTGCGTGATCGGGAACGGGCAAGGCAACGCCGGGCAACAGAAACAGCGGAGGAAAGGGAAGCGCGACTAGAGAGAGGTCGTGTACGATCAAGAGCTAGACGCGATGCAGAATCCGAGGAAGCACATTTTTTGCACACACAAGAGTGACTCATACGATTATGTAAGCTCGCTTCCGCTCGCCAAAAATGCCATGCATTCGCCTACTGCCGCTAGCTATTCTGCTTGTTGCACAACTTACGATGTTCACCTGACCCCTTCCCGATTTTTGAGGGTGGGGTCAAGGCTACGCCGGACTAATACGCGTGTGTGTAGTTCTGTCAGTCTAGAGAAGATGCCCTTCATCGTGCCCGTGAGACTCCTGAGCAGTGAGAGGCTGGTTTGTATCATCGTCGTTTGCGTGATATGGGACGCGCTTATTCTGCGTTTGTCCATCTGTTTGTGAAGAGTAAATGCAACTATGTGGGCTCGCCGCCTTCCGTCTCACTCAGCTTGGACTGATGGGAACATTTAGAGATATAATAAATATTATGTATTATTTTTTGTGTTTCTTTTGTTAATGGTAAAATTTCTCGCAGCGATCTGAGCTTCTCGTTCTTCTCCGTCTGTGAGCAGTGGACTTCGCTTTCTCGTATATTTTGCACTGCTGACTCAGCAAAACATCGTCACACGTGATCATGCATGCCCCGCAGTTAATTTATGCGCGCACGTACGTCCGTACGTCTGGAGATGAGAGGCCCCGCCCTTTTCGCGAGCTCGCTCACCAACGCGGGGAATTCCCCTCTCGCCGCGATTTGAAAGTTCATCGCGTTCGGTAGGACGATCGGCAAAAAAATGGAGGAAATGTCTACATCAACCTTCTCAAGCATTACCGGTGCCCCTTCGTATATGACTAAACAGTACACACCGTTGGCGAGCACGTTTCGTGAACACAGTGAGAAATTCCCAGATAACCATCTTCCAGAGCCAAACAGTGAAGGTCGGCGGGCACTTTTTACATTCAGAGGGGCGCGGTTAGGGCGGGACCCACGTAGAGGGTCGGATTTCATGTGTACTATGAGGTGCGGCATTTGTCACACTACATGTAACATGTGGGGATTGGATAAGTGCGTGTCCTTAGACCTGTTCTCCTGTGTACAAAAAGATTTTGCCTCTGGGATTTCATGATATTTATATGAAGAAAGAACGGATCAACTGTAATATACGGACCAATAGCGCAACGCATTCTACGCGTGTTCTAGGGGCCTGTGGGGATCTAGGCTAGGTATAGGCAAGGGCGAGGGGCTAGGGCTAGGGGGTAGAGCCAAGGGGACATGCACAAAGCCCACGGAACGCAGGACTGGACCTTGTCTCCGTTCGGTTGTTTCCGTGTCTCTGTGATCATGTCGAGCGACCAGTGAGAGAAAGATGAAGATTTTGCTGTTGCTGGCAGCGCTGTCTGCAGTGTGCCTGGCAGCCGGCGACTACGTAGGAGTTCTCGTTCGGACTAGCAGGAATGCAGCGGTACAAGACGGATCACGGTAGCGTATTTCTGCCCATAGCTAAGTCTTAGCCCTGGCCCCTAGCTCTATCCCCTAGCCCCTCGCCCTTGCCTGTATATACCTAGCCTAGATCCCCACAGGCCCCTAGAACACGCGTAGAATGCGTTGCGCTATTGGTCCGTATATTACAGTTGATCCGAACCACAAGTTGGACAAATAGCATGCTATCTACAGCTTGTATTAATTGATGTTGCTTGCATGTACATTCCTCCAGCCATTGTTAGTGCTTTGATGGCCCTGCAAAACAAAATTCATGGCCTGGAATTAGAAAAGCAAATGATGACAACTTCCATTCCCGATGAACCAAGTGTGTGTGGAAAAATGACCCATTATCCAGAGAGTACATCTGAATCATCTGTTGCCCTTGCCACTGAACATGGTTTGCCTGTAAATAAAAATTAATATCCTGCAAATTTAAAAAAAGGAAGGAAGACAACCATCTGTCATCCCTTTCTTGTCCCCCTTTTACACCATCCCTCTGTTCCTCTTTTTTTAAATTCGCAGGATTGCCTAGGTTAATTATTAAGTATTCACCATTACAGTACGTGAAATACACAATGTTCTATTACGAAAAGAGTGGAAAAGTTTCAGTAACCAACACTTTTAGACTCCAAAGACAAGTTTGAGAGTGGCACACCAGGCTAGGGGTTGTGTGATGAGGTCGGGGGTGTCAGCATGCTCGAATACCTTTCACAATGCCTCATGTATCCCTTGTCTCCCTTCTTTTTGTAAGTGCTTGTGGAAGCGCTCTTTATCCACCCACGCTTGACGACATAGTTGAGTACTGTCGAAGACTTCTTTTTTCTCTGGACATAACTGAAATGACTAACTAATTAACCCTCGGCGTGCATGTGCAGCGAGGGTTACAGTACTTGGTCTGTGTGTCTGTCTGTCTGTCTGCCTGTCTGTTACCACGTTTTCTACCCCCACGCGCAACAAACCGGCCAAAAAGCGACACCAACGTGTTCAGCGCTGCACTGGCTTCATTTTTAAAATGAGCATTTTCGTAAAAGTACTGCGTTCTAAAGTTATGGCGTGAAAACGAAGGCAACAAGCCAATATGCTAATTAGCACAGGCTTACCTCGACCGGGTTTGCTCGCTCCGTGTATCTTGAAGGCACAAGAAGTCACAATGAAGGGCGTGTATCGACTCCTGCATGCTATCTACTACTGTAGCTAGCCCGTGTCAGTCTCTGCACGAGCTACTAGCGGGAGACCACGGGTAAACGTATACTAATAACCCAGCCCATCAATTAGCGGTACCGCGCATACGCAGTTCGCCGAGGGTTTGTACTTTAGTTCTTTTCATTCTTATTCAATTGGTACCAGAGTAAGTGAAAACTTTTCCCAACGTTTCAGTCCTCTCACAAGGACCTTCCTCTGGGATGAGTACAAAAAACAGAACTGAACTGGTGGGTTACAAGAAAACGAACAAGTTACTGTAAGAGGTGATCCCATATACAAGAAACCTCCAGACCACGCTTTGTTTATAGGCTTAGACCTATGTGCTTCAATTATTAACCATCGGCGCACATGCGGAGCGAAGATTACGGTACTTGGTTCGTGAGTGTGTCTGTTTGTTCCTCTGTTACCACGTTTTCTGCGACTACGGGCTTTTGATATACGTGTAACTTCTGCGTTCAAAAGTTATGGCCATAAAGGCAAGTGAACAAGCCAATATGCAAATTTGCACAGGCTTACCTTGAATGTGTCCGCTCGCTCTGTGTGTCTTGAAGGCACAAGAAGTCACAACGAAGGGCGTGTATCGACTCTCGCATGCTATCTACTACTGTAGCTAGCCCGTGTCAGACTCTCCGCGAGCTACTAGCGGGATACCACAAGTAAACGCATAAAAATAGCCCAGCCTATCAATTAGCAGTATCGCGCATGCGTAGTTAGCCGAGGGTTTGCACTTTAATGCTTTTCATTCTATTCTGCACTGCTTGCGATTCACCCCTATTATTCCTTTTTTTACTCCGATTATTCCCTTTAATTTATTCCCACATAAAAAAATTATCTCTTATTGTACTGTAACATGAGTGACGATTCCTTAATAGAGTTGTCCTGTTGATCTCCAAAACTAGATTTTAGTAGTGAAAAGACTCTTTCAGCAGCGGCCGATGGTGGCTGATCAAGGAAAATTTTATGAGCCGCCAGAAACCAGCAGGGTAATGCACTTGAGTTTGTCTTCCACCACTCCAGTGGATCGTGTGCATTGTCGCTTTCACGAGGAGGACGAGTTTTCCTGATCTTCCTCGGTCGCGCTATGTCAGCTGGAGTTGGATTCTTTACCCGGTCAAGCAGTGATGCGACCTCCTTTTCCTCACGACCTTTACACAAGTGTCTCCGTCTTATTCAGAATCTTGACCATTACTTCTACTGCATGGGTCGTAGAGTGGTGTATCCATGCCTGAGCCACTGTACGTACATACTAGGAGGAGCACTACTACTCGAGGCACTAGAACTGGCGGCCATGTTTTACAACACGTGTCACAGACTCTGTTTATGCTCAGTATTCTTTCTTTTTATTCCCGTATTATGCCCGGTGCCCTGCAGTCCCCATTATTCTCATTATTATGCCGGCATATTCGGCACCTCCCTATTTGTTTATCAATCTGCCTCCATGTCGTCTGATGTGTATGGCCTCTCTGATCTTCCTGGGGATGGAGTCTTTGTCCTGATCTACTACAGAGATGTTGTCCCAGTTTATAGTGCATGTTGTGTTGTCCAGACATGTTCCGCTATAGCCGACTTCTCTGTTTCTCCCTTCCTGACAACACCTTTGTGCTGTTTAACCCTAGTTGACAGACATAGACCTGTCTCCCCAATGTAGTGCTAACCACAGTCTTGACATGGTATGGAGTACACAACTCCTGATCTCTAGGTTGGGAGTAGGAGACTTTGGGTGGGAAAGGATGGATCTGAGGGCATTCGTTGTACGAAACGTAGTTCGGAGGTTATGTTGTCCTAAAACACGCCGAATACTCTCAGAGACTCCAGAAATATAAGGAACGCACACTGTTTTTAGTGGGGTGGGAAGAGGATCTGGAGGTTTTGAAGACCAGGTTGACGTAAAAATGTAGATGGGTACTGGTTTGCTATAAAAACTCTCCTTAAGAATAAGCGTTCTTTTCTTTTGGAGTTTCAATTGCCTCAAGCCTTTTAAATCGAGTGTTCACTACGTAGTTGAGATGGGCTGATGGCCAAGAACATTGAACTGGGGTGAGAAAATACACTTTCTGGAGCTTAAATGATAAGGAGTGTTGTTCATTTTTTTCTTTTTGCAACATTCATAACATATAGTAGGTAGCCCAGTGAAGAACAGTATCCGTGCCATGGCTTACGCGCTTACATTACTCGTGTACTTATGATCTCACCCGCTTAGGATTCAGAGTACTTTCTCACGTTTGATAGGAGCTCATTTCCGCTGCCTACCATCTATAGCTTAACAGTGGTTTGAGGTTGCCTTTGTCTTGTGTTGTGTTGTAGATTCGAACCCTTACCAACGGAGTTGTCCTGATAGCTCAGTTGGTAGAGGAGAGCACTTGCCTAAACTACAGAGTGTCATGGGTTAGAATCCGACCCAGGGCAGCTCTGTAAAAAAGAGTTTTACAGGGCGTATGTAAAAGTTTGTCATGTCTTTGTTAACATGTTCCATCATGAACCATGATTATTTCATTCACAGACTTGCAAATGAAATTCAGCAACGAGTTTTGTAAAGACGTTGATGATATGGAAACTGAACTTTGTGAGGGTCTCACAAACAAACAGCAAGGGAAGGCAAAACGGCAGAGGCGAAAAATTACGCAGAAAGAGGATATTTCCGCACACCATATACCAAGAGTAAGTGACTGTACATGTAACTTGTAGTAGCATGTAACACTTTATGCCTGTGTTTGCGTTGCCACCTTTATTGTTTTGTAACCATACATTGCTGCTACTAGTGTAAGTTTTTTTGGCGAGTGCAAAGTGAACAAGTAAACTTGCTCAATGTATCCTTGCTTTTTGTGCCATCCCTATATTCGCCATTTAAAAAAAAATTTATTTACACTTGTCTCCTTTCCTTTTCTTTGCTACATTCACATGCCTGGTGTGTGCCCATCAGCATTAACAGCCTATGTGTTTATTGCCTCAGACTGTTTGTCATCGTTCACATGTTTCTTCACAATATTGCATACATGAAAAGCACTGAAGTGTGAAAAGCACTGAAGTGCAAACCCTCAGTGCACTATGCGCACGCAAGTAGCATGCGCAGTTCCGCTAAATTTTCTACTCAGTCTCATGCCAGCTCACTGATAGTCTGTCACTGGTTAGTTACTACACTACTAGATAGCATGCAAGAGTCGATACTCACTCCGCGGCTGCAACTTCTCGTGCCTCTGAGGTATGCAGAACAAGCGGATCTGTTCGAGGGGATCAATACAAAAGATCGCCACCGTCCGTTACGTTACGCAACCGTAACGGCACCGCGAAGGGGGCGTGGTCATACGTGCGCGTAACGCCCGGATGGATCATGATCGGAGCAGGACCTCATCTAGGATGCCTTGTCGCCCGGATGGATCATGATCGGAGCCGGACCTCATCTAGGATGCCTTGTCGCCGGGATGGATCATGATCGGAGCCGGACCTCGTCTAGAGCTACAGGGCTAGGGCATCGACATACTCAACCAATCGATGCCCTTGTCCTAGCCCTAGACGAGGTCCGGCGCCAATCATGATCCATCCTGGCGGCAAGCAAAGTAAGGTGCGAATAGCGCACATAATTATGACCACTCCCATTTCTTTTAGTACGCAGTGCCGTTCTTTATACTTGATGAGCGCCGAGGAGGGTAACTGCTGCTGCAACCCTCAGTGCGCATGCGTAGCGAGGATTGCAGTAGTCGTTCTGTCTGTTTGTTTGTCGACACTTATTCTGGCACTACAGGCTACAAGGAGGCCCGTGAACAATACCATCGGCTTTAGAACTACGCCAAACTGAAAATAAAATGGCGATTTGCCTGAAACAGCTGCGTTCGATAGATACTGTATGTTGTGAAAACTGGCTAAAAAGCCAATTGCACTCAACTAACCATGAGTTTTACAATGCTGCATTTTTGGGTCTCCAGAGAATCCCTTTACCATTTCCTCACACTAAACAAATTCGTGTTGTGAGTATAAAAAAGTGGCAATAATATAGGGTTGTGTGGAGGATATTTTACACAGCAAGCAATGTCAGTTTTAAGATGTAGCAATCCCATTGTACTAATGCACTCGGTCATCTCTGTCTTATCCTCTTGCTTTTCACACGCTTTTCATTTGAAGAATTTTTTATTTACTTGTCTCCCATTTTTACAACATGCACATGCATTGGGGCATAATGCCCATATAAAATGTAGCATGTGTTTATTGCCTCAAACTCTTTGTCGTCATTTACATGTTTCACATAAGTGTACAATGTTTCATTGTTGGAGGAGCCAGCATAAGCAAATTATAGGAAACAAACCATTTAATTGCCTGAAGCTATTTGTTGTTTACAAACTTGTAATTTTTGCTTTGATGAACTCTCATCGTGGTAAATCAGTGTACCTAGTTTCATTGAGAGAGGTCTCTCCATAAGCAAATTATAGGCACAAACATGGTCTCTATCATAATGTATGGGGGTTGTTTACATGTAAACAAAATTGTTTTCCAAGAAATTACTGAAAGTTAAACGTACAAATCTCAAGTGTATGGGCATAAAGCAGGACAACCCGTGTCATCCCTGTTATACTAAGTACTACCGTACTTGGTGATAAGGTTGTTCAATAGGACTACCTTACTCCCTAAACGAATGCAATGTATATCTGCAAGCTGAATGTCCTTACCTTGTGGGCAGTACGTATGTATGTATTAGTTATACCAGGCTGGTTAGGGTGGCGTGCGCCCTGATTCGCATTCATGCACTCGGGCGTATAACTAACTGCAAGCCACCCGCAACCGGCCCGGTATAACTTGTTAAAAAATCGATTTGAATAAAGCGTTTTGGTGGGTTAGCGTGTGCATTAGGCGGACTGGAGCGTTTCGCGAGGGCGTCGTGGCTTGGGAAAGACATTCAACGCATACGACTTCATCGCGAGGACCTATTGCTCCAGGTAAGCCCAGGCTAAAGAGAAGCTGTGCAGACTGTAGAGATAATTTTCTCAGCCCCGCTCGTAGCGTAGCTCGTGGTTGGCTGTGGCAGCCACCCTGCTGGAGCAACCAAGAACTTACTAAATCTCGAGCATACGCGAGCTTAGCGTTAGTCGTGGTATTTTCGCGGGTAGCGGCGTTGCAGCACTGGCTCCGCTTCAAGCTCTGGGTGTGACTCGCTTGCTGCGCTTCGTGTACTGGGCTGCCTTGATGTACAGAACTTAAAACCAGCGTTGAAGAATTTTCATGTGGTTCATACGCAGGTGATATTCATTGCTAATGCAATGGGTAATTAAATGCTAAGACACCCGTTACCATGGTTATTCATATGCGTGGACACAGAGTGTATTAGCAATGAATTAGTGTCATAAATCCATACTGTGGGGGTATGCGGAACTAAGAGCCTTGTCAGCTCCTTTTGATTTAAGTGCCTACTGGTAAATATCTAGGAGTTTTGGCACTTGGCGTGGAAACAGAGTTTGTACCATAAATGATCTGTAACCCACCACCCTATTTGAAATGGCTTGGGATATGTATACTGTGTATACTAAAGGGTCTTGTTCAGTTAGTGTGCTATACACGTGTAATTGTTGTTTTGCATTTTCAGTCGCTACAGAAAGCTAGAAAACATACAAAATCAACAAGAAGAAAAAGTGAGCAGGTGCAGTCTATGCATACATCCCCTATGTATTTATGCATGATTCAGTATTACTCTTAACCTTTTGGACGCCATGAGGATCTGCTTAAATAAGCAGAAATTGATGTATAAAGTATATTTTAGCGCCTAGTTAAGTATTATAACCCCCATATAGATGCTTATGGAAGCTCTGGACACATTTGTCTCCATTTAAGTGTTAATATCAAACTTGTTTTCTTACTACCTACATTCTTGGATTAAAATACTAAATGAGGCGCACTACAGTACTGCTAATTGTTGGGCGTTTCCTTAATTGATGACGTTTCCTTTGTCCCATGCTGCTCTCGCATGAGATGTTTGCGCTGCACGCTGTTCCTGGTCTTGAGCAGGGCAGCGTGTTTCCCGCTTGTCCTCAGCTTTTTCTGAAGTGAGACGCGGTATCCTGTGAGCTCTGACCTCTGTAGAGAAGCGCCGATTGCAGAATGGTATTTCACTCGCACTGTGGTGAAGGTAGAGCTTTGCTCTGCTGTGTTAAAGCCATTTTAGCATCTTTGACAACTGCCTTCAGCCAAAACGCAACTATAAAACCACAGAAAGATAAGTACCACGTGTGTCCATATAGTTGGAACTCTTGGTACATGTGCGGTGCCTGTCTCCCCACAGTGCCTGTCACATATAAACAGTTACATTGGGCGAACAGATGACTAGATTGGCTCAGTCCCTCATAGACTTTGTATAGGCTTTTAAGCGTACAACATTTACTCCGCTGTGCAAACCGCGTTCATTGTGGCGTTGATGCAAGCTACATTGGCTGGGCCATGTGTCGTCGACGGAGCCCAGTTTCTCGAGCGGTTAGAGCAACGCTGGACTGTACGCACGTCATGCTCTCACAGCTCTGAAGATGTTGTTATCACTCATAGGCTGCCTCGTAGCAGTGGACACATAGACAACGAAGTACTGTGTAACCCTCATTTGGCAGGACAACAAGGATACACTCGCTTTGCCTGCTCACACTTCGAAATCAGCTCATGCACCGGCAAACCACTGATATGACGCGTGTGTGCCAGTGTAGCCAGCGCATGCGTGATCAATTGAACACTACACTCACGTACGTACGTGCATGTTGCCTTTTCCCCTTGTTTTAACGCCGTATCTCTGGAAAGCAGTTATTTCAGGAAAATGTCGCTTTTTCTTTTTCATGCTTTCGTAGCCCTGACGCTGGTCGTATCGCCTGAAGTGCAAGAATAGGCATAGACAGACAGACAGACAGACCAAGTACTGAACCGTCGCTGCGTATGCACGCCGAGGGTTAACAACAGTTGATGGGGAATACGCCTAGATGTAGAAGGACTTGCGATGGAATGAAATCACCGCAGGGATAGAAGAAGGGAAACAGTAAACTAGTCATTGCAGGGTTGTTTAAAGCACAGTGTGCCCTCCATTTTTCATCTTTTATTAGGTTTTGTATTGTAAATGTGGAGCCGAAAGTGGTCTTGAACAATGCCATCACTGCAGACCTATTCCAGGCGTTCACTACAGGATGAATTTGAGAGACGTTCCATTTCTCCTCACTGCTGTAGGTTATTAACCATCGGCACAGGGTTACTGTGCTTGGTTTGCGTCTCGGTATATGTCATTCTGTCTGTCTGTATTCTGCCACTGGTGCAACATTTGCTATACCAGTGGGTTCTGCATTATTTAATATTGCTATTTTCCTAACAATACTGCATTCGAAAGTCATGTTGTAAAAACTAGTTGAATAAGTCATTAACCCTCGGCGTGCATGCGCAGCGAGTGGTTAGTAAGTGTGTGTGTGTCTGTCCGTTTGTCTGTTACTACGTTTTCTACGACTATGCACAACGAGACAACAAAACAGCGATACAATGGGTTCATCACTACACTGGCTTCATTTTTTAAAAGGCGATTCTCGGGGCGATTTTCGTATAATTACTGCCTTCGAAAGTTATGGTGTGAAAAGCAAGTGAACAAGCCAATATGCAAATTAGCACATGCTTACTACGACCGGGTCCGCGTACCTTGCAGGCACAAGAAGTCACAACGAATGGTGTGCATCTATCCTGCATGCTACCTACTAGTGTAGCTAGTCCGTGCATGCTATCTAGCTACTACTGTAGCTAGTCCGTGTCAGAGTCTTCGCGAGCTTCTAGCGGGAGACCACGAGTAAACGTATAGCCCAGCCCATCAATTACTCAGCCCAGCCCATCAGTGTTTTCATGGCAACGGTCAAGTGATTTGATGACTAATATCATTGAAAAATTCTAGCAAAACACTTTGACTAAATAAACAGCTTACCCCACCGCATCAGTTAGCTGTACTGACCTGTGCAAAGCAAACAAGTCAACTACACCCAGAACAACTCTTTTTTCCGAGGAAAAAAGGAGAGGTGCCCTAGGTTGCATTGCAACCCACGACACTTTTGTCGTGATGAGCGCTCTACCAACAATGCAATCATACTGACACGTGATTACAGTGTGCTTGTGGTATTCACGACAGGTATTTTCATTAACCCTCCACGCGCATGCGCAGTGAGGGTTACAGTACTTTGGTATGTGTGTGTGTGTGTGTGTCGACACTTATTCTGACAAAACAGGCTACAAGGTTGCATATAAGTGGTATATACTAATAGCTTGAGAACTACGTGAGCCTGAAAAAAGATTTTTCTGAAACGCCTGCGTTCAAAAGATATGCCGTGAGAACAAGCAATATGCATAATTGTACTGTGCTTACGTTGACCTGATCCGCTCGCTCTGTGTATCTTGGAGGCACAAGAAGGCACACCGAAGGGCGTGTATCTACTCCTGCATGCTACCTACTAGTGTAGCCAGCCCGTGTCAGACCCTGTGAGCTACTACTAGCGTGGAGACCATGAGTAACATTCTTAGCCCAGCCCATTAATTAGCGATACCGTGCATCCGCAGTGCACCGAGGGTTTGTACTTTAGTGCTTTTCCGTATTTTTTTTGGTTTTACCACACATGAAATGAGGAGCTGACTCCTCTAAGCTACATTCTCATGTGCTACTCTACAATTTGACATATTATTTATAAGGGTAGTCTACAATGCAGTGAGATAAGAGAGGGATGTCCTTTTTGTGCCATGACGCAGTATATAGCACAGTGGATGAGGGCTATATGTACAATACTATTGTGTGTCTGTCAGCACATGTGCCTGAGGGCATGACTTCTCACAAATGTAAACATCCAGCCCTGAAACTGTGGCCCGGTCCTCCTGCACAATATTATATTCCTGCTTACTCGTACTCAAATACATTATTTTCATACAGTGTGTTTCAGGCAATTGTCATATAAATCTTGCAGAGCACTTCTCCATCGCACTCAATTACAGCCAACTACCAGCAATTACTTGCGTCGATGAAGTGTCACAATGGATTATTGTGTGGTGCTGCTGCTGCTGCTCAAAAGAAGAAGACAAACTGTTTCAAGTCCGTGACTGCTATGAAGGCTCTTCTTAAGTCCCTTGAGGAGGAGTTTGGTCGGCTTACATTGTATGCTATTAAAACTAGTGGGGTACAGTGAAATCTTATTATAAAGAGCACACATAATATGAAATTCTGGATACTATAAAAGGACCCTGGGTCATAGTCCCAAGAAACATTTTGTCTCACTTTTAAGGCTGGTCTCCATATTGTCTTCATCGGTCTTGTTCAGTCTGCAGCGGTCTGGGAAATAGACTACGTTTCTATTTCCATGACTCAGACTTGCGTGGTCGTAATGGGTCTTGTAAATGTAGTCAGACTGCACAAGACCGAGTAAGCCTATATGAAGACCAGCCTTTACTGTGAAATTCGTTATAATGAAATTTCACTGCATGTATTTCACTTGAGTATCACAGGGTTAAACCATTGCCTGTGTAGTAGGGTAATGAATATAATATCTACGTTTTATAGAGCTAGAAACTGGCTCCGGGTTAGACCACATGGCATATACCTGGCCCATCACTTAGTGGTGCCTTATGTGAAGCAGATAAACATGCTCATGCATTCCTTACACCAAGGGTTTGCACTTTAGTTGTTTCAATGAAGAGTTTGGTGGAACCTACACATTGTGGTGTCATAGACGATTACGCCTGTGCTTTTACAAACTGAATGACTCTGCTTGGGGCATCAGAGCTCAAACAATAGTAGATCTAGATACAAGCTTGGGTAATAAGGTCAGCCAATCTTGATGTCATCATTTTCATACAGTTCAGTGAGCTTCATAGATTACAAGGCGGTGTGCTCCATTCCATCAATCATTGCTGCTTTTGACACTGTACTATGCTGGAATTGCATTCGTGAACGACATTGATTTCACGTGCATTAGGTGCTCAGCCTAGACTGCAGAGTGTTGTGGGTTCGAATCCAAACTAGGGGGGCTCTTCTTTTTTTCCCTTTAAGCTGTTCTGGGTGTACATAGTTGACTGGTTGGTTGGGCCTTTGCCTTTCTACCTTGTAGTTCACACATGCATGTACTGAGAATGTAAACATAAAACTAGAATTTTGCGGAAAACTGCAATCGGGGCAAGCCACCCAGTGTGCAGCAGCTCATCAGGGCTTCCCGCACAGTGTATATACTACTACTGTCATCACAAATGAAGCTCATATTCGTCCTCATGAAACTACTTCAGGATCAAAACAGCCAACTGCAGTAAGACCAGCGAGCAGCATTGTGCATGCAAGACAGTCATGACACTCCACCTGCTCTTCTAATAATATATGGGCCTCCTCCTAAGTGCCAAAAGAAGGAAGCATTTACTGATGCAATGACCAATGCTGCTGTTGAAATTACACAAGCTATAAGTGCTTCAGCTCAAGAGACTCCAAAACCCCAATATCACCAGTCTCAATCTCCAGGTCCTCACTGTATGCTAACTGAGCTACCAGGGCAACTCAGATTGTAGAGGTTCGAATCTTCAACACAATACAAAGGCAAACCTCAAAACTGGCACAGTATACTCTCACACAGTACGTAGGAGCATACCAGAGGTAGTTAAACTACTAAAGACGCCCAACTTCAAACGCATGCGTAAACTACGAGGTAGAAAGGGACAACAAACATGTAAACTATACCCAGGACAGCTCTTTATCCAAGGCAAAAAGAAGAGCTCCCCTAGGTGGGATTCAAACCCATGACACTCTGCAGTCTAGGCTGAGCGCGCTATCAACTCAGCTACCAGGGCAACTCAGCTGGTAGGGGTTGGAATCGGTGTATGTGTGGCTGGCACTGGAGGATTTAGAACTTTGGTGCCGTGGTATGAATGTTATTATACACACACATGGCATGGCAACTTGTAGTAGATTAAACTGCCATTACATAGCTTATGTATAAGTGCCTTTTACACTACAGGCATAATGGTTTGCTATGTAAGACTACAGCATCTGCTGTATTCAGACAAACATTAACCTTTCATTGGCAAGGGAACCTACCTAGTCGTCAGAATGCGGGGAGTTTCTATATGATATATCTTTCTTTGTATGTGACGGGCACTGCACATACGTATTACGTAATTCTAAAATTTGAGCAAAAAGTTTAACTGCTTGCGCTCGCTCTCCAATAATTCGTGGCATTGGCCATCTGTCATTTAAATGTTTATTCTTGTATTACTCAGTGAGCATCAGGAACTTGCACAGAAGTTGACAACAAGACAACCAGCTGCTTTTGGATTAAGTGAGGAGCAGCTACAGCATTTGGCTGATCAGATGGAATTGAAAACAAAGCAAATTGGCATTGTATCCAGGCAGCTCGGAGCAACAGCTAATTCTCGTATAGACCGTCCTTCTACAAGTGTTCAAGTTACATGTTCCAGAGATGCAAATGTAAAATTTCTTCGAAGAATAAAAGACATTAAAACAACACTACAGGAAAATGACCTTAGTTGGGATTAAACACTCATTACTTGTGCTGCATTAGTTGTTTTTTATATTTTTCAACCTCCACACCTTCCCAATGTCTTTGTTTCAGTGGAGAAAAATACTTCTTGATGATACAGTCTCTAACATGTGCTTCATGCTTGGTAAGGGGGTTCAGTGTAGCAGCTATGTTGTTTCCGACAGTGACATCATCGTTCATACTTACGAGTGTGGTTGTAATCTGTATAACGCAGGTAGAGCATAACATACATGTAACATACGCGATGAAAGATATTTAGCATTACCTCTTTGAAAGATGTTGAAAAATTGATTGCAAGTTGTGCAATATCCACACCTTGCTCCTGGCAGAACTCCATTGCTTTGGCACAAGCTGATTTTATATCAGCGCTTGCAGGATGCCAGGGCTAGTGTGTGTGTGTGTGTGTGTGTATGCTGCATAAATCTTGAATAACAGACGCTAGAGCTATGTACATACCAATTACACTCCTTTACACTTGCAATACCATAATAGCTGCACATTTTTTGTAGGGTTCAAAATGGAGATTACTTTTGCGTATCACCATGATGTCTGGTAATGTGCACACAAACTAAATATACCAGGGTTACTCTTTCAAAAATTCCTGTATCCCGCTTTAGGTAACTTTGTATGAATATACCTGAACACCGTTAGGTGTTAGTAATCCCATTCCAATAGGGCTTGCATTGATTAACCCCACATTTCTTGAGTTAAAATAATGAAAATGATCGATTAGTGATGTATCGTTTAATGTGAGCCTACAGTAGCTCAAAACACAGTCAATAGGGATTGTGCTTTCCTCGGTTATTTTCCTTAATATAGAGAGAGGATAGCCTGTTATTCCAATATATCTGCAGAGCCCTTGATCTTTTAGTCGCTGTAGTGCTGGTAATGTCTCATGCAAAACTGTAGCAATAGATGGTGCAAATTCCACATCATGAATTTGTAATATATCAATGTGGTCCAGTTGTAAACGTTTTAAACTCTCATAAGCACTCCTATTAACAGTTTCTGCTGAAAAGTCAAACATATTGGGGTAATCTTGCTCGTAACGACACACTTTAGTGCTAACAATGAAATTTTCTCTCTTAATGCCGCGAAGTGCTCTTCCAAGAAATAACTCCGATTGACCTTGGCCGTACCAGTAGGCTGTATCAATATAATTTACTCCTCTGTCTAGTGCTTCTTTCACAGCATGTGTTGCTGTCTCCTGATTATAGTTTCCATACACGTTTCCAAATCCGGAACCACCCATTCCAAGGATAGACAGTTTCAAGCCTGTCCTTCCCAGTAGTCGGAATTTCATTTATACTGAATGTCTCTTGTTTGGATCAACTTTAAAAATGCGTACCTGTATAGAAAACATGGCTTGCTGCATCAGTAAAGGCACAAACATTCTAATTCTTGGTAGTCCGCATCTTTTTTCTCTTGGCATCACATGGTCTATTGTTACATGCGTCATCAACGAGGTAGAGAGGCAAGGCAAAGCAAATACGTAAGGCTCTTTTTTCGAAGCTAGGTAGGATTCGAACCCACAACACTCTGCATTCTAGGCGAGCACTCTACCAACTGACCTACGAGGGCAACTCAAGGGTCCAAATCTTCAACCAAAGGCAAAACCTGAAACCACTGTACAGCAATAAGGCCAAAGCAAAGCAAAGACACAACAACATGCAGAACATACATAGTACCATTGTCTGCATGGCACCAAGGTGGTCCAACTTCTGGCTGTTCTTTGCGTGGTCACAGAAACAGACAGACAAAACTATACCACACATTTTCCTTCGAAAAGAGCCTAGTAAACACTTATGTTCATGTGCGTAATCACACTGGGTCAGGAGACTGTCAGAGCACACCCATAGACTAAACGACAGCAATCAGCAGCTTTCACGTGATATAAAGAGCCCAGTTAGAAGGGCAGGGAGTGTCTAGAACAATATTGGTTCTGAGTAGATTGAAACCAAAGAAGGGCACAGTGTGTCAAATTCTGAATGGGCTGCAGGCTTTTAGTCTCACTGGCCTTATTTGCAGTATGTTTTAGGCTTTATCCCGAGGGGTTCCCTCCCCTTGGGCGCGAGATGTGCTAGGCACAACTACCTTGCGTGGCGAAACAGTACACGCTTGCCCACTCACCTCGAAAGGCTTTCTTTCTCTTGTCGCCCACAGGGGTGGTGGGCGTGGCCATAATTGGCTCCGCCCCCTTGGCGACAGCGATGCTGCGCGGAGCTCTGTCGGAGTTGTCGTGTCTGAGGAAGATTCCAGACTTTGCCACTGAATTCTCTTCCCTGGAGACGTAGAAGGGGCATGTCGGGTCAAAAACCGGCATCTTTTCTTTACGGACGGCCAAGAACGGAATGGTCAACACTTCCAACTCTCTCTCGAACCGACCACCGAAGTGTAGAGAAAGATGGGTGTTCTAGCGGTAAGTACAAATCTTGCTACATTGTTGGTGTGACATGCCTTTCTACAGTATGTGAGGAACTGAGCAAACTGAACTTGGACATGGCTGTTGCTGGTGTACAACCAGCTCAAGAAACACATTGTACAGCTTCCTCTTGTTCAGCTGCTACGGATGATTGTGTGCTATTCGGCTCCCAGTTGTCAATTTCCAAGCCACATTACCATAAACATTCAAGGAAAAAATATGAAAAGTCATGTGGCACCCAAATTCCTACGGCATTAGTTACACCTCTTCCAGGCACCAGTCCACCCCAACAAGCAAATGAGCAACCACCGGATCATCTGATACACCAACATATCAAGCTTGAGCCTAATAGTGGCAGAAAAGTAGTGCAACAAAGAGTGATAGAAGAACCTCTGACAACCACTGATAACACTGTTAAACTGACAGAAAAGTGGAAAGGTCTGATTGACATGAAGGATGTCATATTGAAGCAAAAGAATTTGCAGATAGAAAGGTAATATACAATGTATTGTTGTCTATATTGTATAATTATGTTAACGAACTGACATTTTGACAGGCAGAAGATGACTATATCAAAACTGCAACAACATATGTGTGAGCTAGAAGCAAAGCTCCATCACCAAATAGTGACCCACCGTCATCAGCAGAGCACGTCCGTATTAGAAGCAAGGCTGCAGGTACATTGTATAATTACACATTTGGCTTTGTATAGCATAAAGGAAAGTCCCATGAAACTTTGTACAATTGGTCTGTGCAATTATGTTGCTTGCGGTACACATGTCTTACAACTTGCAACTTTGCACGAGACTTTTGTCCACAAAATTGCATTGTTTTGTGTTAACTGTGCGAGATTATGTATATATAACTTGCAAGTAAAACTCAGAACTAGTGTAAACATCTAGCTACAATTACTTTCACATTATACGAAGTTACTGGTAGTGTAGATGTTCTGCAAGTGATAGTACTGAGAATATACTCGGGCAGCAAATATGCTTAGCGCTTTGTGTAGGCAAAGAATAGGTTCTCTTAGTTTTGTATGTACCCTAAACCCTTTGCATGACCTGCATGCCAACAAAGGTGTACCTGGAGTGCTATTATCATAACACAAACTTTTGTAGGCAAACAAACCACTGCCTCCCCCTTGCAGTATGTACATAGGCTTTGTTACCCCAAAAGCAAACCCATGCATAGCATCACAAAATGCTACTAGGCAATTTTTACTATAGCAGACAAAATGCTGAAATGGGGCACCTCACACACGCTGCTCATTGGGGAAACTTTACGTGAATACTCATGAATAGATCAGATGAGATGCACAGTTCTACATCAGTCTAAAAAGGACGACATCATTCCCATGAATTTCTACCCCACTTTAGCATATCCCTAAAATTAAAAGACAAAATTTCTACAACTAAACGGCACTGTCGCATACCCTGAATTGGTAATTTTTCCTATTCACATTACTCAAGAAACATTGGATGCTCAACATGTCACAGCTCCTGAAACAGTCAAACCCGGGCTGTGCGCTATGCACTACACATTCTCATGCTAGTCGTGGTCAACAGTGAGTATATTGGCTTTTTCACTCGTGTTCTATGCAGTGCTCCGAACCTGTTGGTATTTGGTGCCTGTAATAAGGGTAACAATTAAGACAATGCCTTATGCGATATACCATGCCTAATAAATCTGTACAGTCTCAAGTCGGTCAACTTATAAAACCTGTTGTTCATGGATGACATTACATTGTGCATGACGAAAGTCAACCACAAGAAGGTGACATTGGAATTCAATACCTTCACATGCCCCTTGTTCATAAACTTGTTGCCTAGCTTCAAAGGGAACTTTATACTACCTAAAACCCACACTTCCTGAGGGTTATCTAGTTGTTCTCCAGGGTCTGGTAAGCCAAGGGTAAACTAAAAGGGTCAATCAATTTCTGAAGCTAAGACTGAGTCCAAAAAAGTAGCTGTAGGCCAGGACAAAGCCTCTTGATAGGAAGTTTTCTCTTCCATGCAACATTGACACATCGTGGAGGGCCAAGCATAATGTAAATTTGTGTCTTGGCATGTTCAACAACTTTGCATCAAATGTTTCAAGGTGTCCTGTGTTCTTATGGCCCATGTGTGTGTGGTGCTAGATGTCCCACCCTGCCTGGATATGAGGCCACCGTACAACACTGAGAGTATATGCTGCAACTTTCTTTCCTCAGGCTTTGGATGCTGAAAACTCCTCAATCAAGGCACAGTTAGCAGATGCACTGTCCTCACAAAATAAAGAACTTTGTACCATCTCCAGCAAATTGGAGTAAGTTTTGTATCAATGTATGCACATCGTTAGGGAGTGGCAGATGGGAGCCAGCCAACTTAGTGATTCGTCCAAGGCCATATTGCTATACGACCAACGGCCATTGTCACACGTACTGTAGTAACACTGGTTTGGAGCTAAAGGGAAATAACCAACTTTTGTCTTGGGTCACTCTCAGGCATCGTGTCTACGCACTGATTAGCTCAGTTCATAGTGCACTGCAGTCACAACGCCGGAGTTCTCCTGGCAAAAGTTTGTTCTTCCCTGACCTATGTATTTCCATCGACTGGGGTTGCTGAGAAAACTTACAATGTAAAGCAAGTCATTCTGCTTTAAGCTTGATGGCCAAGATAACACACGTGGTCTCATTGGCCTTTTGCATCCTGTTTTGCTCTCTGCCACATGGCTAGCGTGTGACGCAAAGACAACACAATGCCCGAGTAACTCCACAAGACCCGTCTCAACTAATTCTGCATGACTTGTATGTGTAATATAACACAGTTGGCTAGCTCCTATTCGCCAATAATGTACATCTGGTAGCAACCACACATATGAATCAAATGTTTGTAGTTACAAGGAGTGTGAACTGCATCGGGTCATTACAGTCCATGAAGAATCCTTAGAGAGAAGTCAACAACTGATTGCAAGCCTACAGGATGAGGTAATGCAAATGCAGTAAGTAAAAACCTTTGTGGTGTTGTTGACACAAGCTCTGGTTCTTGTTGATAACAGATTTGCCCTTAGACTATAGCGTGTGTGTAAAAGTAGATGTACGTTGTCAAACTCTACATGCGTATGGTGCTTTTTAATGCAAGATACGGTACTGAAACTTTTCTGCCGCTCTCTGCACATGTAAACTCTTTCTAGCCAAAATGCTATGCATTCACAGGTGATATCCAGGTTTGCCATCAAAGGCATCATTTTACACCTCACCTCTATGATTTATAACTGACAAAAGCGATGTAACTATGATGTTATATTGAATAACTGACAAGAGCGATGTAATACTGAGGTAAAGTATTGTTTTCTCATTTGTGTTTTGGCCAAACCTGACATAGTGGCATTCACATATATATACTTACTACTTTTTAGGTTTAAAACGAGAAGGATATAATATGTAGAAGTGACATGGTCGGTGAATTACCACAGTTCATCATTAATCCTACAGAGTCTTGCAATGATTGCAGGGTACTTTTCACATGACAAAACAAAGTGGAATGTTGTGCATACTGTGCGGCCATGCAAGTGATACCCATGGAAGCGGCAGTTGCTATTTGGACAAAAGGATAGCAAGTCGTGGGAATGAGAATGATGGATTGAAACGAGTGTGGGACTTTAAAGTTCCTCTTTGGCATGTAATGTGAAAATTTTAATTGTGAGGTTGATGTATGCACTTTTTAAATGTAACAATGGTTCCTACTACTGGCTGCACAATTGTATGGTTGTATAAAGCAGCAGCAACTTAGGTCCATTTTTCCCTTGTTAACACATCAGCTAAAGCATTATTAGTCTCCCTAATTCCTCTTGCACTTCTTTGGTACTGGAAATGAAGCAGCTAAAGCAGCTAACTCACACAGGATGCCTGCCTATGAGGAAGGACCCAGTACACACTGGGTCCTCTGCGCTCTTAAATTTCACACACACATATTTCTTGTATTATTGTGAAAACTGAACACTAGCCTAGGTAAAACCTACCACAGCACGTGTCCAACCGCAGAAGGTCACGTGACATTGGCGGGGTGTGTCGATCATGTGAGCAGCTCGGACTCACTCAGCTTGCACCGCACCCAGATGTACAGGGACACCCCGCTATGTCTGGCTCCTCCAATCAGTAGAATGGGCGGCCAAGAGTTAATGCTACATTCACGTTTCAGACCAAGGGCCCTAAATAGCATAGATTTCACAGACTCTGCCGTTTAACCAACAACTTTTCCTACATGTACAGTGTATGTGTATGTAACTTATTGAGACTGGCTTTATTCATTTTAGATCAAGGGGCAGCAAACCTGTATTAGAGAACTCGAGCAAAAGTTGGCTGCCTCCGATGCAGCCATTGAACACCACATGTGAGCAATGTGTAACTATTTGAGTTTAGGTGCTTAATCTGGGAAGGAAACTCCTACAGATCCTTCAACGGATCGTTTATTTTGTTTTCCTCGTGCGCGGGTTGCGCAGGGAAACGGCGCAACCGGCACTTAGTAAACTAGTCTTGTGCCCAGACCCTGCCTCAAGAGAGGAAAAACTATTGAGGGTTTTCTTGGTTGTGCTGACTTGACAATCTCACTTTTTGACAGATTGCAGTATTTGCTGGAATCATGAAATATCACGCGATGTTATGCAATCATTTGTAACAAAGATCCGTGAACTCTGCATGTCTACGAATGAAAACAGACCTGTCTGTGCATGAACCAGACAGTGATGACTCAGCACAACCAAGAAAATGCTCAGTAGTCACCAGTCCCTTTCCTCTCGTGAGGGCGGGGTCTTGGTACGAGACTATTAGTAAACATGATACGAGGTATATACTGTACTGTGACATTTAGTAAGCATGTTTTCACGTGTGAGTGTGTACTAAGTACAGGGGTGTGTACTTAGTACTGTATATTAACACTTAACCAGCCATGGACACATTAATGTGTCCAGAGCCTCCAAGAATTTATATTGGGTCATAATACTAGGCGCTAATACTTCATACATAAATTTCTGCTAGATACCCATGGCGTCCAAAGGGTTATAATAATACTCAGGTAGCACTAGTGCCATAGACCACGCACCCAGAGCAATGGGCAGAACCGTTAACAAACGAACATATCAACATGCAG